TTTAAAAAAAAAAACTGTCACTTACATGTAAACTCCCAGAAGCCCACCTAACCATCATAAACTCCCTAAAGAACATGGCATCACCAATCACAGGAAGGTCATGAGCACCTCTGACCAAGCAGGAACTAGGAAACAAGCTGATCACACACCTCTGAGCCCCAATTTCAATCTATAAAAACCTTCACCCCTAACTCCTTCTCAAGTGGGAGAAGTGGGGTCTAATTTTTATTCAAGCCCATTGACATGCGTAAGGAGAATTCTTAGTGCTGTCATATATAAACTAAATTTTATTCAGAAGGTGAGAAAATGGACACACACATATATATGGGCATGGGTGGGAAGTGGGCCAGAAGGAGAAAGGAGTGGGGAAGTAGAGAGAGGCTACCTCACCACCTCCTCATTGGCACCCCCCACCCAGGTCCCAGGTGAAGGAAGAGTAACTGTGACTTTCAGCTCCTTAATCCTAACCTAGCTACTTGTTTATCCCAGATCACCTGGGGAGCCTGAAAAGAGCTTTGCTCTGCACTTTGCAATTAATACCTTTCTCCATCAGTCCAATGTCAGATGAACGATGGCTTTCTGTTTGTGGGGTGCAGTGGTCTCGGGTTTGGGGGTTCTATGGCAAGACCTCCAACTAGTTTGTGGATGTTGTTCAGCAGTAGGAGAGATTGCTGAGCAAAAGTGGTACATTTGTTATTAATATTTGATGAAATTAAATTAAAATGCATGCTGTGGGGCCAGCATTGTGGCACAGTAGGTTAAACTTCTGCCTGTGACACTAACATCCCATACAGGTGCTGGATTGCATCCCAGTTGCTCCACTTCTGATCCAACTCCTTGCTAATGTGCCTGGAAAAGCAGCAGAAGGTGGCCAAGTACTCGGGCCCCTGACACTCAATTGGGAGACCCAGTTGGAGTTTCAGGCTCCTGGATCCAACCTGGCTTAGCCCCAACTATAGCAGCCGTCTAGGGAGTGAACCACCAGATAGAAGCAACACCCCCCGCCCCAACCTCTCTGTGTCTCTGTCTTTGTAACTCTGCCTTTCAAATAAATAAATCTTTTTTTAATAAGGAAATTTTTTTAAAAATGTATGCATGGGGCTGGCACTGTGGCATAGTGGGTAAAGCCACGGCCTGCAGTGCTGGCTTCCCATATGAGCGCCATTTCAAGTCCTGGCTGCTCCACTTCTAATCCAACTCTCTGCTATGGCCTGGAAAAGTAGTAGAAGATGGCCCAAGTCCTTGGGCCCCTGCACTTGTGTGGGAAACCCAGAAGAAGCTTCTGGCTTCTGGCTTGGATCAACCCAGCACCGTCCATTAAGGCCATCTGGGGAGTGAACCAGTAGATGAAAGATTCATTCTCTCTCTCTCTTTTCCTCTCTTTTCCTCTGTCTCTCAATCTCTCTCTCTCTATCTGTCTGCCTCTGCCTCTCTGTAACTCCACCTTGCAAATAAATAAATCTTAAAATAAACTATGCATTTTCCTATTCCATTATTGCTTATAACTGCTGTCTATATTCTGACTAAACTAGGATCTTTTTGCTTTTTATTTGTTTTTTTTTTCAATTTTTATTTTTTCAGGTAGAGTTATAGACAGTGAAAGAGAGAGACAGAGAGAAAGGTCTTCCTTCCGTTGGTTCACTCCCCAAGTGGCTGCCATGGCCAGCGCTGTGCCGATCCAAAGCCAGGATCCAGGTGCTTCTTCCTGGTCTCCCATGTGGGTGCAGGAGCCCAAACACTTGGGCCATCCTCCACTGCCCTCCCCGGCCACAGTAGAGAGCTGGAGTGGAAGAGGAGCAACCGGGACTAGAACCCGGCGCCCATAATGGGATGCTGGCACCGCAGGTGGAGGATTAACCAAGTGAGCCACAGCGCCGGCCCCTTGCTTTTTATTTGTTATACTTCTATCTGTGAAGTATTAGCCTTTTAACTGTAATGTAATCTCAAAGTAGGTTATCTCAAAAACTTTAAAAAAAAAAAAAGGGAGAAGGAGAGTGTGGGTGGGAAGGAGAAAGGGAATAGCATTATGCCATTATGTTCTTGGAATTGTATCTATAAATAACATTGAATCTATAAAAAACTAATAAAAAATTAAAATTAAATTAAAAATGTATGCTTTGTGGAAGAGGCAAGTGATATTTAGGCATAGTATTTTCACTTATGCTCCTTTTTAGCTTCACTAGGAAGTTTTCTATTTCTTTAACTATACATTTTAGTATAAATGTCAAACTTTGGTGATGATTCTTGGAAAAATCATGCCAATAATGTTAATGGTTAGGTTGTAGGATTTCAGAGCTCCAAGAGGTGCAGAGATGATGGATTAAATCAGAAAAGTCCACTTTTTACAATGGCAATTTGCTATGTCCAGGTGAGGGGCTTTCCCAAGCAATAAACCTCCCACTAACTTTCATCTGTGCATAGTTTTCTGGGTTTTGGGTGGTTTAGCCCTCAGTGACCTAACAGGTTCTATCAGGTCTCTGTGGCCCAATAGATTCTAATATTAATACCTCACCATTTCTGAATAAATCCTTTTTTTCTAATCCTGAGGCACAGAAAGTATCAAAAGCAAATCTCTATTTCATACATAAAAAAATTAGCAGTCTTCTAAGTGCAGGTTTTTTTTTTTTTTGTCATTATGTCCTTTTTGTGATGAGATGCCAATTTCTGAGACACTCAATTTTTTTTTACTTTTTAATTCTGAAACATTTCATATTGTTATGGGTAAAACATATGCAAGGAAAGGCAGCCTCAGTTCTTGTTTCACTTGAAAGAAGAATTTCCATGCAGACAAGGCAGTAAGCACAGCAAGATTTTTTTACGTCAGAAGCCTCCTGCTACAGCAGCCAAGAGAGGGACTGCAAGAGAGGCAGGCCCAAGAGACTGTGACTGTGTAGTCTTTTAAGCACAATTTTGAGGGAAAACAGAACAGTATCTAACAATCAGTCAGAGGGTAGGAACAAGATTCATTTAAAGGCTGGATTTGTAATGCTGTCTAGCCCTTCTAGCTTGCTCATGATAAAACAAAAAGCCATCAGAAAGGTATGATTGGTAGATTCTTTCTATTCTTATGATAAACCAAAATTCAGAAGGATAGAATCATTGCTTCCTGGTTATCCTTGTGATATAACTAGAAATTCAGGAATGGGATTCAGCACTTTTATCTTGCTAAAGTTAACTTTTGGAGAGAGGCAAGCATTTTGAACCCTCTTAAAGAGATTTCACTTTTCTTTAATCTGACAAGGATGACCTATTAACTCCTCACAATATCCACCAAAATCGATGACAGTGCATTAGATTATAAGATGTCCTAAATAATAGTAACCTTTATTTAAGAATTGGTTAAGGTAATTAACCAAAAAACTGTCCAAGATAAACCATTTTGGAAAATAAATTCTTTATACTGGAAATATATATATGTGTATGTGTTAAATTAATTACATTATTCAGGTATTATGGCTTACCAAAAAGAAGTAAAAGAGGAAGAAAGAGGAGGAGAAGAAGAGGTAGATGGAAAGAGAATTAAACTTTTTAAAGCAAATATTTCTTTACTGGAGAATCTAGAGGACAGATGGCATTGGGAAGGATCAATGGGATGTTCCCTAATGCTAATGGTAGCACTGATGGTGGTGATTCAGATAATAGAACTCTCCCATGTGGTTAGGAAGTTACAACATGCACCAATTCATTTTGAACTAAAAAACTAGAATCATCTACTATGAGACTTAAAAACAATTATGAAAATCATTGGCCTTAATTGCTCTTAGTTTATTTATTCTAGTTCATTGATTTTCACTTTCCTGTATTCATGCTGGTCATTGTTATGGTCAGAAGAGGAGCCTGCTGTTTTGGTTAGCGTATTTATACCCTGAATGCAACCACTTGGAAATGGGATGTTCCTTTTTTTCTTTTGAAAGTGAATGTGATTAGCTTTGAAGGAGTTAAAGCACTATTGATCCAAAGAAAAGGGTGTTCTCTGCATAGGCTTTCCTTTCCAAGAAGCTGAAGAGTAGTGTTTGTTCTTGAAGAATGCCATTTGTCCTCTTCTGCTGACTGTGTAGTTGGACACATAACCTGCAGGCTTTTCTTTCTGCAAAATGATCTTGTTTTAAGTTAGAAGATCACTCAAAAGAGAGATTTGTACAGACCATTTGGAGAAGCTGGGATCCGGGCATTGATTCTTGGGTGTGGACTTGTGTGATGTATTTGCCAGATGGGTTTTGATCTTGATTATAGATGGATATTTTGGAGAAGACATTGTCTTTCTAGTTTGGCTGCTAATGATGTAGTTTGATTTTCCTTATGCCACTTAAATAAAATAAGCAAATAGCTAAGTGATAAAAATTCTCAGAACTCTCCCCTCAAATTCCCATATTCAAACTATGAAATTTGCCAATACCAAACAGCTACTTTTCATCCCATTTCCTGAGTATATCCTTCAGAATGCAATAAAATCTTCGCAATAATCTCAGTTGATATGGTTCGAAATTAGGATGTATTTGACTAAAGATATATTTTTATTATTTTATATAATTTTGCCTTCTAAATAGTGTAACCATTAAATTTTAAAATCTTACGTGATTTACATAATATTTTATGATTTTTTTATGTAGTCATCCCAATAAATGGTTGGCTATAATTTGTTGTAGAGTTTTGAGAATGGAAAGGAACATTATTAATAAATCAGGTTCTCATGGATGTAAACCTGGACTGAGCTGTACAAAGCTAAGATATGTGTTCTCCCTACCTCTAAAGCACCTTCCTGTAGTGAAGAAAAGTTCCCCAAACAAGCAACTGGCAACTGTCTTCAACTCCATGGGGGTAGATGGCATTCAATCAAGCAAATGTAACAATCAATCACCCTCTCCTGCACATAGGGAAACTGTGTATTCAGAATTTTCAACATCATATCTTCTCCAGTGTGAATATGACTCAACTATAGTATATCAGTTCTACACCAAAACTGGGAAATACTATGGTAACAACTTCTCTCTACTCTCTAGATCACTGAAAATGATTGACTCTCAAAGTCAAATATACTGGATAACCCTCTGTTCATCCATCATCACATCTCCCAATTCCTGAAGCTGGTAGGTAAGGAAATACTGATTTAATAAAAAGTACTCAACAAATATTTTCTATATTAATGAATGAGTGATGGCTCTTATGAAATAAGTATCCTTTGGTTAAAGACTGAAGAATAGGAGCAGCAGGACTAAACCTTGGAAAGAATGTTGGATAAGACTACAAGTTCAAATGTTTTAGGGCAGGTTCAGAATGAAATGAACCTGTTGTGAGAATGGGGATCCCCAAATTATGTAGTGGGGATTGAAAACCCTGGCTGGGCTTGGAGAGACCCTAGGCTAGACTTATTCTAGGTTGGTGTCTTTCTGCATTTAAGAATAAAACCAGGAGATGTAGATAGAGCAGTAAACTAAGACTTACTGAAAGCCAAATGGATAGTATACACACAGACATGAGTACAGGAAACCTCAAGAGAGAATTGCTAGGCAAAGAGGTAGTACACACTCAAACATGAGTGTGGGCAGCCTTAAAACACAATTGCCCTCACACAGGCTCTGGTCATCCTTTATAGGGAGGGTGTTGTGCTCAGGGCAGGCTTTATTGAAGATCCAAAGGAGATGGTATTTGGGGTTGTGCTGCAGTGTACATGTTCATCTCCAAGGTGTTATGGCATCTGGAGTTTGATGGAAATTGAAGTTTAGCTACATGATAAAGAGTGGGTATTCCATGCCATTTTCAACCATGTTGAATTGGCATAGAATTTGGTATTTGGGTATTTGGGTGTTGTTGGTAGTCTTTAGCTTCTTATGCCTTCCTCACTCCCTGCCTCACCCACATCAAACCCAGCCAGGGGTAAATCTTCTATCTGGGTGGTGAATGGTATGGTTTGTGCTCCATTCCTACTAGCTCCTATAAGGCTAGTGTAGCCACTTGTTCCCATGCAAATATGGGAACATATAAATCCTTGCCATTTTCAAACCAAATATCTAGAATGTAGCATGTTAACTTTTTATTCTTTTCTAATTGTATAAATTGAATAAAATACATCTTTGTGTAGAATTTGGTTTTAGTACTGTTTGTTTGTGCCCCTGGTCTAATTCTCATTCCATTAATTGAAAATTTGTTAGGGTAAATTAGTTCTCATCAGATAAATAATAATGAAAGCATTAACCTCCTCTTTGTCAATTTTGAAGCAAAGGATTTTATTACAACTGTATTTCTGCATCTATCAGCTTCATGAATTGGCACATTTGAGAGTGTGATAAACAGAGCCTTACCTAGCATACTGACTTTTAGTGGATTATTTTAACTCCCCACTTCTGAATAAGACAGAATTATTTTTTTAACAATTTTAATGGAGTAAAATTAGTAATATCAAAAAAGGCAATGACAACAGTGAAGATGTATTTTCCATGAAATTTAGTGGTCATGCCAATTAACAACTGTAAATCATTTGTTACTTTCTGTCTTTTTTATAGTAGCCATTATTACTGGGGTGAGGTAATAGCTCATTGTGGTTTTGACTTTTATTTCCCTTATGGCTAGTGATATTCAGCATTTTTTTCATAAATTTGTTGGCTATTTGTATATCTTCTTTTGAGAAATATCTATCCAGTGTTGAGCCTTTATCAGTTGTGTAGTTGTAGTTGGTGGGTTTTCTGTTTTCTGTCGGTTGCCCCTTCATTTTGCTGAGTGCTTCTTTTGCAGTGCAGAGGCTTTTCATCTTGATGTAATCCCATTTGTCAAGTAAAGTTTTCTTGTCTGAGTATATTACAAAAAAAAAGAAATATCTATCCAGGACTCCAAGTATAAAGTAGTGGCAAAGGAAAATTTTGGTTATCCTGATTAGTTCAGTACAGATTGTGTGTGTGTGTGTGTGTGTGTGTATAAATGTCACAATATAGCCAATAAAGACATACAAATATTGTTAATAAATTTTTTAAAAATTTAAAACATCACTAAATTCATAGAAGAACCATATCTTACCTCTGACAATGAAAAAGTAAGAAACTGATAATGTTTAATTACTTTAATGTAACTTTTTTCAATAAAAGGGAAAAATAGCATCTATATACTGATAATTCACTAACTTAATAACATTACAGTTTGCAAATTTGTCAATGGCTACATCATAATAGATTTTTGCATATTTAAATTCATTGGCAGATATACCCTGTTTATCTGTCTTTCCTCATATTCAAAGAACACTTTTTAATTTTAATATCATTGTTGATGCAGAGCAGCAGTTACACAAAAAAGAAAAAAATTTAAGTTTGGCAGATATTGGTAAAAATCTCATTTCACATTAAATTCCAGATAGTCAAATATGCTTCATGTATTTCTTTCATTAGAATTGATTCCAGTAGGTTTCAAATGTCTCAGCAGTCAAAAAAATTAACATAAATAAAAACTCCAAGTGGCTACATAGAATGACAGAATTGAAATCGCAAGTTCTATTTCTTCATCTTTACAATCGCAATGCTGTCACTGCTTATTTAAAATCTACAGTTTAAATGTGGAAAAAACATGTAGTTCTGCAGTTGAAGGCAGAGATTGTACCCAAGCACACTGAAAAGATTCCTAATGGTATTAAATTTCTCTGAATTTTTCTTCGTATAGAAAACAATGTTTAATAAAGGATAAATAGTTTTTAAAGAGTTCTAATTTAAAGTGTAAAAATACATTATTTTTTAAGGGAAAGGGCAAACACATTATTAAAACTCAGGAGTAGCATATTAATTATTTTAAATGTATCCCATGAAAGATTTTTTTCTTGTGGCAGTATGTAATCATTGACCTTGATTAAAGTTTCTGTCCCTTGGTTAAAAAAAAAATTAAAGCAAATTGTCTTTTTGTTGCTTCTATTATTATTTTGCAATTCTCTGCAAACACTGATTTTCACTTGGGTGGACAAGTCTACTGCCCAATCCTTGAAAGTCTGCAGGAAAAGAAACAGAATGAGGGAGAGGGTAAGGCACACCTGTGACCCTTCCCACTCCCTACACCCACCTTTCTTGTTGGAGCTTTATGTGAAAACTGCCTTATATTAATCCTCTGGATCTGGTTTTCTACCTGTGAGTTATGCCAAGGAAAGACATTTCTATTTAAAGAAGAGAAATTCCTTGGATGCATAAGCAATTGAACTCTGGTACCCCTCACATTATTTGAGATCATTGTAATTCTCCTTAATCCCTAGGTCCTGAATTACTAGTCATCATAGCTGTGGTTGAACCTAGAGTTTCCATAAACTTTGGCTCTTGTTTTAACTCTGCTTCTGGACCAAGGATTTATATCTTGAGTTCATTTTTGGTTTTGTTTTATCTTTCATATTTTACCTTCTGTCATTCCATTTTAAGTGTAAAGCAGAGCTTAGATTTAGATCCATCTTCTCTATTTCCTATCAGCATGTATATGTGAATATACACTTGTCAAGTTATTTAAAACTCTGAAAAGTTCTGGGGTGAAACCACTAAACTCACTGTGGTTGTTCTCTGGGGAGGTAAGGAGAGAGCTCAAATTAGGAGTGATGTCAAAAAAATCACTTTCATCTTGGGAACCAGCATAATGGTACAGCAGGTTAAGCTGCCACTTGCAATGGAGATGCCCCATATCAGTGTAGGTTTGATTTCTGGCTGCTCTGCTTCCAATCCATCTGTGTGTGTGTGTGTGTGTGTGTGTGTGTCTTTGTGTCATCATGAATTTCAAATAAATATTTTTTTAAAAATCACTATCTTATCTTCTGTATATTAAGATAATCGAAAATGAATCTTGATGTGAATGGAAGGGGAGAGGGAGTGGGAAAGGGGAGGGTTGTTGGTGGCTACCTCCATGTGTGTGTGTGTGTGTGTGTGTGTGTGTGTCTTTGTGTCATCATGAATTTCAAATAAATATTTTTTTAAAAATCACTATCTTAATATTTAAGAGAGACAATAGAAATATTCAGTAATTTGAAATTTACTTCAACATTAATGAAATAAAATATAATGAGAAGAATGTGAAGCACATTATAAATACATGCAGCTTTACTCTTTTTAGTTTTCTACCTAGTAGCAAGACTTTAACTCTATTAAATTTTAACCTATATATTTTTGATGTTCCTTTAATTGAGTTTGAATTCATCTATTTGTGATCTTCCATAAGAGTATTAATAGATTTTAAAATTATATATTTTTGCACTTCTTGCTTTAAAAGATGTTTAAATTTTAAAAATTGAAAAATCATTCAAAGTATAATTTCCTGAGATATTGTATGGAAACATCTACTTTATTGTAGTGAAATCTGTAGAAATAAAAGTAGAATTCTGCCAGTTTTCTTAAAGTCATCAATTTACCAAGAAAACTCATCTCTCTGTGGTAGTTCTTACTCACTGATACATAACATAATGCCTTAATGACTTAATTGGATTGTTAGGTAGGATTTAAATGATTCACATATGATACTGAGACAAAGCCTCCTCTTTTAGAACAACTCAACATGATTCATATTCTGTACTATATTTTAAGACAACAAGAAAGAATAGAGCAATAATTACAAAAGCAGATGGGATAAATACTTTAGAAGCTGTTTTGGTACCTATAAGTATTGTGAAACCACCTGGCCAGAAAAGCAGAAAAATGTTCACCGTGATAGTTTTCTATAGCACAATTGCTTAGAAGAGCTTCCTCCTGAAAATAATGACACCAAACAGGCTTGACTGTGTTTTCCTCAAGAATTAGGGTAAGGACTTGGATTTTCATTTTATTGGAAAGTATCATTTGGGGCCAGCGTTGTGGTGTAGAGGATTAGGTCACCACCTGGGAGGCCAGCACCACAAATCACAATGTGGGTTTGAGTTCCACCTGCTCCACTTCCAATCCAGCTTCCTGCTAATGAACCTGGAAGGCAGCAGATAATGGTCCATGTATTTCTGGCCCTGCCATCCTTTTGGAGATCTGGATGGAGTTCATTTTCTGGCTTAGGCCTGGCCCAGCCCTGGCTGTGGTGGCCAGTTAAGAAGTGAACTAGTAGATGGAAGATCTTTACTTTCTCAATCTCTCTGTTACTCTGCTTTTCAAATACATAAAGCATTTAATCCCTTATAAGGGGAATTTTAGAAGCATGATTATAATGCAAGTTTTCAAAGGGCAATAGTACCTAGAATCAATATGAAGCAATACAACTTATAATTCAGTCTATAGGACCAAAGTCTAATAAAAATTCAGTAAGATTCTGGAGTTATGTATTGTTTTTACACTTACTTTTTCAGTGAGATATCATCCATAGGTCATATAACCAAGGATTTTAACCTTAGCTGCAACTTCAAAACACCTGGGAACCTTTTAGGAATCCCAGTGGTCACCCTTTTACATTGAGTAATTATTTTAAAATTTCTAGGAAAGGGTAAAACGATGGAATGGGTATAACTTCCTCAGGTAATTTCAATATGCAGTTCAAATTGAGAACCACTGAGCTGGAAAGTACTGTAATGCAGAAGATATGCCCCAACTAATTTTCTTCTTATAAAATGTTATAGTGTGAGGTTCAGTGTTAGATTTTGTTGAGAAGGAAGTTTAAATGGAATTTTAGGAATTGCTACACTTATTCCTCTATTTATCCATTCATTTATTCAGCATACTTCTTTTTTAATAATTAAATTATTTGAGAGGCAGAGACACAGAGAGAAGAAGAGAGAGATACAAACAGAGACAGGGAGAGACAGAGAGCCTCATCTGCTGTTTCACTTTCCAAATACCTGCAAAGACCAGGACTTAAGGTGGAAGTCAGGGACTCAATCCAGATCTCCCATGTGGCTGGTGGGAACACCGTCACTTAGGCCATAATCTACTGCCTCCCACGTTCTGCATTATCAGGAAATAGTTAAGAGTGGAACTGGATATTGAACCCAGGCCCTTCAGTATATCCTAATGGGCAGGCATCTTAACCACTAGGCCAAGTACTCACCCCCAATAGCACTTCTAGAGTTTTACTCTGTGCCAAATTGGGCTGAATTTATAATATTAAAATATGGAACATGCAGCCTTGATGGGATTGTATTGGAATCCCCTGGTATGTTTCTAACTCCACCATTTGAGGCAAGTCCGATTGAGCATGTCCCAAATTGTACATCTCCTCCATCTCTTATTCCCACTGTTATATTTAATGGGGATCACTTTTCAGTTAAATTTAAACACCTAAGAATAATTGTGTATTAATTACAGAATTCAACCAATAGTATTAAGTAGAACCAACAGAAAAAAATACTAAAAGGGATAAAGTATTAAATTGTACATCAACAGACAGGACAAGGGCTGATCAAGTCACTGTTTCTCATAGTGTCCATTTCAATTCAACAGGTTTTCTTTTTGGTGCTTGGTTAGTTGTCACAGATCAGGGAGAACATATGATATTTGTCCCTTTGGGACTGGCTTAATTCACTCAACATGATGTTTTCCAGATTCCTCCATTTTGTTGCAAATGACCGGATTTCATTTTTTTTTTACTGCTGTATAGTATTCTATAGAGTACATGACCCATAATTTCTTTATCCAGTCTACTGTTGATGGGCATTTGGGTTGATTCCAGGTCTTAGCTTTTGTGAATTGAGCTGCAATAAACATTAAGGTGCGACATCTCACTAGTCCAAGTGATCAATTTCAGTTCACAACTGATCATAATGATAGGACTAAGAGTCAAAGGGATCACACAAACAAGACTAGTGTCTGCTAATATTAACTGATAGAATGAAAAAGGGAGAGAACGATCCAACATGGGAAGTGGGATGCACAACAGACTCATAGAATGGCAGATGTCCTAAACAGCACTCTGGCGTCAGAATCAGCCCTTAAGGCTTTCGGATCTGGCTGAAGAGCCCATGAGAGTATTTTAGGCATGGAAAGCAAAGACACTCTGGCAAAAAAAAAAAAAAAAAACACAAACAAACAAACAAAAAAAAACCTAAATGAAAGATCTCTGTGAGTGAGATCCCAGTAGAAAGAATGGGTCATCAAAGAAGGAGGTACCTTTCTCTGAAGGGAGGAGAGAACCTCCACTTTGACTATGACCTTGTCTAAATGAAATTGAAGTCAGCAAACTCAAAAGGCTTTCATAGCCTTGGCAACTCATGACTAGAGCCTAGGGAGATTATTGATGCCATAAACAAGAGTGTCAATTTGTTAAGTCAACAACAGGAGTCACTGTGTTCATATACAGGAAGCTGGATCAAAATGAAGCAGCCAGGATTTGAGCCAATGTTTTTACAGGGTGCTGACATTGCAGGCAGTGGTTTTTCCCACTACACCACAGTGTCAGCCAATTTACAGGATATAGTTTTAATCATCTCTGATTATTTTAAAATTTACTATATATCAAATAAATAACATCTCATTTAATTACTGTTTATAGCCCTTGCCTATAATCCTGCTCAACTATAGTCTTTTACTTTTTAACCTGTTGAACTCTTTATTTAATTAATATTTAATGACTATAATGTAAATTAAAAATGTTACCTCAAAAATTTTTAAAAGTTGAAAAATAATATTATTTCTTAATATTTCAAGATTTTCAGTTGATACATAATAATTTTACCTATTTATGGGGTAGAGTGTGATATTTCAAGAACTGTGCAATATGTAATGAAGGGTCAGGTCAGGATAATTGGCATATCTATCAACTTAAACATTTATTCTTTTTTGTGTGTTAGTATCATTCACAATCTTGTCTGCTGCTAAATCCGTCAACCACAGTTACCCTACTGATCTGTAGAACATTACAAGTTATTCCTTCTACCCAGCTGTACTCCTGTATGCAATGGCAATCCTCCCTCCTTCTG